CTGTGAGGTAGAAGAAGAAGAAGAAGAGATTGGATTTATACCCCGCCCTTCACTTCCCAGAGGAGTCTCAGAGCAGCTTACAGACTCCTTTCCCTTTCCTTCCCCACAACAGACACCTGGGGAGGTAGGTGGGACTGAGAGATCTCTTTCCAGAACTGTCCTTGGGAGAACAGCTCTGACAGAACTATGACAATATATACTGTACACACTAAGCTTTTCACCATTTCCCCCCAACTTTGCGGTGCCCCCTTTGGCCCTGGTGCCCTAAGCACGGGCTTAGTCCGCTTCATGGTTAATCTGCCCCTGAAGCACGTGCTTAGGGCACCAGGGCCAAAGGGGGCACCGCAAAGTTGGGGGGAAATGGTGAAAAGCTTAGTGTGTACAGTATATATTGTCATAGTTCTGTCAGAGCTGTTCTCCCAAGGACAGTTCTGGAAAGAGATCTCTCAGTCCCACCTACCTCCCCAGGTGTCTGTTGTGGGGAAGGAAAGGGAAAGGAGTCTGTAAGCTGCTCTGAGACTCCTCTGGGAAGTGAAGGGCGGGGTATAAATCCAATCTCTTCTTCTTCTTCTTCTACCTCACAGGGTGTCTGTTGTGGGGAGGGGGAGGGAAAGGAGTTCGTAAGCCGCTCTGAGACTCCTTTGGGTAGTGAAGGGCGGGGTATAATCCAATCACCTCTTCTTCTACCGACCCTCTTCCCCCAGTACATGTTTTCAGCAACCTCTCCGGCTTCTAAGAGTTTGCCAGGCCTTGCCTGAATGTTTGCACGCATATCTTCACGGATATACAGGCTAAAAATCTGTGGGTTTATCCGTAAACAAATCTGTGAGAAAGGTAAACTGCGTTTTGTTACTACATTGGGGAGGGGGGTTAATGCATGGAACAGCAGCCAACGCACAACCGTAGAATCATCTGTTTTTTGTTTACATACTTCCCGACTTTTAATTTAGTGCCCTCATCGCTCAGCCGATCCAAACAGATGCTTACCCTCTGGAGACAAAACATGGCAGTCGAAAGTGGCAGAAAGGAATTGTTTCAGCCAGTAGCCCAAAGGCATCTCGGCAAAAAGTCTGCATTTCTTTTGTCTAGTTTTCCATTGGCAATTGCACAGATAGCCTCCCAGGGCAGCTGAATGCATTTTCCAACCCTCTCATTTAGTACATTTAAGGCCAGACTGTCAGCTTGCGTGCATTTAACCCCTGCCTGTATCTGTACGACTCATCCTCCAATTACTTTCCCGAGCAAAATGCCCGAGGTCATGGACGGGTCTAAGGCGGAGAGCTCAGGTACTGTGGGATCGCCCTGTGCTTTTGCTCAGCCGCACAAACGTGCTCATCATCGGGCGACGTCTTCCTTCTCCACCCTTGTCCAGTAGGAATTCCAAGTCTGACTCAGTGACGGGGCTTACCGTACATTTTGTCACCACCGGAAAGGTACGGGCTGCATGCATTCCTGCGGTGCAACCGAGGCTCCCTGTAAACTGTGGAGTCTTGTGAGCAAAGATTCTTCTTTGTGAGCTACCGGCATTACAGTTGTCAGCCAGCGATTTGGCTGCTGCATAAATTGGTTTGCTCTGGAGCCGTCCCTTCCTGAGCGAAGACAAAAATGTGTGAGCCGGAGGTTAAACAACTGTGAGCTAGCTCACTCTAACTCAGCTGAGAAGGAACACTGGTTGCAACTGCAACCATCTCCCACTTCCCTCTCCGCACTTGGTACTCAAAGCAGCTGAGAAACTCCCCCATTGACTCACAGCAACCCTGTGAGGCAGGCCAGTGTAAGGGACCTTGCAGGTCATCTAGTCCAACCCCCTGCACTCTGCAAGAGCATAGCCGAAAGACAGCCCTACAACATACCCAAAAGATGGTCGTCCAGCCTCCGCTTGAAAACATAACAGAAGCCAATGTTGGATCAGGCCAATGGCCCATCCAGTCCAACACTCTGTCTCACGGTGGCCAAAAATACCAGGTGCCATCAGGAGGTCCATCAGTGGGGCCAGGACACTAGAAGCCCTCCCACTGTTGCCCCCCCCCCAAGCACCAAGGATACAGAGCATCACTTGTCCCAGACTGAGAGTTCCTCTCTATACGTTGTGGCTAATAGCCACTGATGGATCTCTGCTCCACATGTTTATCTAATTCCCTCTTGAAGCTGTCCATGCTGGTAGCTGCCACCACCTCCTGGGGCAGTGAATCACTCTTTGGGTGAAGAAGTACTTCCTTTTATCCGTTCTAACCCGACCGCTCAGCAATTTCATGGAGTGCCCACGAGTTCTCATAGAATCATAGAATGTTAGAGTTGGAAGGGACCTTGCAGGTCATCTAGTCCAACCCCCTGCACTCTGCAGGAGCATAGCTGAAAGATAGCCCTACATACCCGAAAGATGGTCGTCCAGCCTCCTCCACTTGAAAATGTCCAGTGAAGGAGCATCCACCACCTCCCGAGGCAGTCTGTCCCACTGCTCAACCACTCTGACAGTTAGGAAGTCTCTCCTGATATTTAGCCGGTATCGACTCCCTTGTAATTTCCACCCATTAGATCTAGTCTTGCAATCCGGAGCAAGAGAGAATAGATCTGCTCCATCTTCTACAGGACAGCCCTTCAAATACTTGAAGACTGCAATCATGTCCCCTCTTGTATTGTGAGAAAGGTCCAGGGAAGGAGCATCCACCACCTCCCGAGGAAATCTGTTCCATTAAGTTTGTGACAAGCCTGAGGTCACGGTATCGTAGAAGTGGGGATTCGAACCTGGGTTGTCCAGGATTCTAG